TACGACTGACTACTACTACTACTACTGCTGCTGCTGCTACTACTACTAGAACTCATTATAACTAATACGTTTCCGACTACGACTAACGACTATATTAATTTCCTTCTTTCTTTTTACTTACTACTAATACTACTACTACCACTACTTACTACTACTACGACTGCTATAGTTACTAACGACTACTACTACTACTTACTACCACTACTACTACTATTACTACTACTACTACTACTACTACTATACTACTACTACTATACTACTATATACTATAATACTATATACTATACGAAGCACGACTTCTACGACTTACTACTACTACTACTACTTACTTACTACTACTACTACATACTTACTACTAATATCTACGACTACGACTACGACACGACTACTACTACTATACTACTACTATACTACTACTACTACTACTACGACCACTGCTACTGCTACTACTACTGCTACTGCTAGTTCTTGCGCACTGCCGCCGGACCCCAGGCTTTGCGGTGCTCGCACGCGCTGCGTTCACAGGTGTTGTGGTGTTCACAAGCACTGTGGCATTTTCTGGGTGTGTAGTGTGCACAGGCGATGTGTATTTTTCAGGCGCTGTGTTGTTCGCAGGCGCTGTGTTCACTGGCGTTTTGATGTTCACAGGCGCTGTGGTGTTCACGGACGCTGTGCTCTTCAAAGGCATTGTGGTGTTCACAGGCACGTCGCGGTTCTTACGGGCATGTTGCAATCTGCAAGCGCACCCCCGCCGTGGCGTGACCGGCGCGACGAACCCGCCCCCCCCGATCACGCGCGTGATCGGCTCCAGTAAACAAACGGGCTCCTTCGGCTTCGGTGGCACGCTCGCTCATCTTTCAGGCCACGGCCACTGTTCAATGTATGTCCTTGTCTATCGCAGTTCGGCTCGTGTGGTGTTCCCTGTTTGCTTGGCGACCTTTTGATTCGCACAGCAGTCCAGGCAAAGTCGGGTGAAGCTCTATAGGCGCGCTCCCTCCTTCTCACTCCCCAATCAAAATTAGCCTGGCGGAGAAACCAAACATATGCAGTTGTGAGCACGGTTGTTGTATGCACCACATTCGGCGGAGTTCCCAATTGGGGCTCTGAAGCGTGTGAGGGGTGTGCCAAAATGGGCGCGGTGGGCGCTTGTGCGCACTGGCATGTGGGCCGTCGGTGGGGTCCCCTTATGAGGCCACGAAGCGTGTGAAGGGTGTGCCAAAATGAGCGCGGTGGGCGCATGCGAGCGCTGGCACTGTGGCATTCGGTGGGGACCCCTCTGATGGTGCCACGAGATGCTTGTGGGGTTTGTCAAAATTGGTGCGGCGGGCGCATGCGAGCGCTGGCATTTGGGTTTTCGGTTGGGCTCCCTACGGGACCACGCAACAAGTGAGTTGTGTGCCACGATGAGACGGTGGGCGCATGCGAGCGCTGGCATTGAGGCTTTGGTGGGGTTCCCGATGCGGCCACGATACGCGTGAGGGGCGTGCCAAAATGGGCGAGGCTGGCGCATGCGATCGCTGGCATGTGGGCCTTCGGTGGAGTTCCATATGGGGCTACGAAGCATGTGAGGGTTGTACCAAATTGGGTGCGGTGGGCGCATGCGAGCTTCGGCATGTGGGCCTTCGGTGTAGCACCCTATGGGGCCACGAAACGTGTGAGGTCAGTCAAAGCCGTGTGTCAGCAGGCACATGAGCAATATGGCACACTTACCGTGCCAAGCAAAATGACCGCACTGCGCGCTTCCAGTCTCGAACTGGGATTGCGCATAAATGTTCGATTGGAACTTGAAGACTGCCACAAACATCTCTTGCAAAATTGTACACCTCGGCAGGCCACGTCTGTCGCGGTCGGCCTCTCTTCCGCTTGCCGGAGGGGGGGCGGAGGTCGAGGGAGGAAGGTCTAAAAATAGCTGAACGCAAGGGGTGGTCATCACCCTTACAAGCAATATGGAAAAAAGTATGTGAGTTCGTTGCCGCTGCCACAATGAGGGGGGGTGGAAAAAAGTTGATTCAAAGGGAAGGGTGTAAAAAGTTCAGTAAAAAAGATAAAAGAGTTGGGGGAGAGTAAAAAAAAAGAACGGAGATTAAAAGAGTCGACAAAAAAGAAATAAAAGGAGAAAGGAGTCCAAAGAGGGGAGGATACAAGAGCCCTAACGGCAAGAGGGGAAAAAAGTGAGGGAACCCCAAAAGAGTGGGGGTGGGGGGGGGGAGGGGGAGGAGGAAGAAAAGGGCCGGGAGGGTGGGGGGGCGGTAAAGGAGGGGGGGAGGGGACATTTAATGCAATGAAATAAGGGAGAGTACTGCTAAGCTTCATCCTGCGCGCTCGTGCCAGCACGTCCGCATTAGACACTCGGCTGACGTACGAATGCGGATCCCGAGGATTCTCCGCAGGCACCTTGTTTGGAAGGCGTCGATGCGGGTCAGCTCGTCCTGCTTCAACCATGCCGTGTGCAAGCTGTACAGTAATTTCGTCTGCACGCACGCCTCGTATATCTGTATCTTTCTATGCATCGGGATGCTGCTGCGGTTCCAGACACGGTGTAAAAGTTCGAACTCTGCCCTCGCTTGCCCAAGGCGGCGGCCCAGCTCAGCCTGCATCGTCCCGTCTGCGGAAAGCACGGACCCGAGGTACACGACGCTTGCCTTCTGGGGAATGACAGCCCCGTCCGGCCTGCGAATAACAGCGTTGCATCCCACGGCCAAGATTTCGAGCTTCCCCCAATTGAAGGTGAGGCCGTAGTTCGCGCCCGCCTTCTCCACTGCCTTCATGTACTGCTCAGCGTGTCCGGATGCGCTCGCGACGATGAGCGTGTCGTCCGCGAACACCAACTCGTCCACCAGTCCTGCCAGGTCACCGAGGCTGTTCTTTGCGTCGTGCAGGAGCACCGTCATGACCATCCCGAAGAGGAAAGGCGATAACGGGCATCCCTGGCAAATGCCCGCTCCTTGTTCTCGCGACGCCGAAATTTGCCCGCACTCTTTCACCGCGAAGCTCCTGGCAGAATAGATGGCGCTCACGGCGGCCAGCACCTCCCGCGGCAGGCCAAACCGGCGCAGCGCTTCGAGGAGAGCATCTGGCATCACGCTGTCGAACGCCTTGGCCCAGTCCAGCGCGAGCAGCACCAGCGGGGACCCCTGCAACGCGCAGGATTCCTCCAAGAGGCGCCGCGCTAAGAATATGGCATCTGCCGTCCCGTGCCCAGACTTGAAGCCGAACTGAGTCTGCCAGATCCTGGCCTCCGCGCCGGCGTCCTTCAACCGGCGCATGATGATCATGGCGTACATCTTATATCCGGCTTGCAACAGACAGATAGGCCGGTAGTTTGAACATTGAGACACGTCCCCCTTTTTGAAGATTGCAGTTACGAGGGCTTCGTGCCAGGCGTCCGGGACGCAGCCGTCTCTCCAGCACTTCTGACACAGGGCTAGCGCCCATTCCCTCCCCGGCCCCGCGTGCATGCAGATAGCCTTCCACAGTTCCCCGGGGACGCCGTCATGGCCACAATCCTTGCCCCATCGCATGCGTCGCGCTGCATCGATGATCTCCTCCTCTGTGATGTCACCGGTCTGGACTTCCAGCTCCGGGCCAATCGGGGCAGGTGCCATCGGCGTCGTAGCACGTGGGGCCCATTGAACATCGCACAGGTAGTCGGCCAACGCGTCGGCTCTCCTATCTGATTGCACCAGTTCGCCGTCCATCCCGCGCAGGCGCCCATGCCGCGCAGGAGCGAAGCCTCTTCTGAGTTTGCGGACCTGGTCCCAGTCGCCCGTCTCAAGCAAGTTGTTGAGCCAGATCGACCTGTCGTTCTTCACCGACCGCTTCACCTCCACATGCAGACGATGCTCCTCGTCTGTCCGCCCAGAGCGGCGGGCGTCGGTTCTCTGCTCGATCAGCGAGAGGGAGTGGGGCGAGATCCAAGGCCTCTTCGGCGAGGCCGTGTTCTCCGGAATAGTTGCGGCAGCCGCAGAGCGGAAAGCTGGCCGCATAGTCGCCTCTATTTCGTTCGCCGTCAGGCCCGCGGTCGCCCTCCCCGCCGCCTCTCCGAAGGCCTCTGCGAAAGCAGCCGCCCGTATCGGGCTCCAGAGGGCTCGAAAATCTGGCTGCGGAGTGCGAGTTTTCTTGTCGAGCGGCACTTCTATGTCGAGGTCGGCACAAACCAAGAAATGGTGCGAGGCCAGCGCCCGGCCACGGTCACTGTGCACGTCCGTGAGGTGCTGGGTCCAACCCTGTGATATTAGGGCGAAGTCGATCTGTCCAAAATTGTCTGGGGAAGGGTGGTCGCACGGCCGCTTGCCCACGTTGTAGCACGTGATCTGCTTCTCCGGCGGCTTGTGGAAAATAGTGTTCCCAATAAACAGCTTCTGGTTGACGCATAGCTCGGCGAGGAGGCTCCGATTGGACGAGGGGTTGTAGATCGCGTCCGGGACTCCGAAAATGTAGGGCCCGATAATGTGCTCTTCGCCCGGATACCGGCGATGAAGCCGAGCGTTGAAGTCCCCCAAGACCAAGGCAGGGCCGTGCCGGGAGCCGCTGTCGATGAAGGAACTTAGGTTAGAGTAAAACTGCCGTCTGTCTTGGAAACTCTTGCCGCTATGGGGAGCGTACGTGGTGTAGATCATGATCTTGCCGCCTTTGACTCGCAGCTTCAGGGACGCCATCCGGGAGTCCTGTTGCCTGAACCCCACGACGGACGTTCGGATGCGCGGCGAGACGATGAAACCGACCCCCGCCGTCTCATTATCGTCTGGGTCCGACGCGCCGGAGAGAACGAGGAGAAATCCGGCATCAGAGACGGA